TAGCAGTGGGCGGGCGGAATAGAATAAAGGGCATAGAGTACAACACAATTTTCAAAATTTAAAATACAAAATATGAAAATATAATGTTGTTGGTGCACTTACCCCATATAGGAAATGTACATATGCAAGTTAAAACTACATGGTATGTGTCGTCATTGCTTTGGCCCAGCAGCCGCCGCTGCCGTCATTGTGACCGCCTGGGATGCTTTGTTGCGTAACATTGCACATTTGCATATGCGAACACATTCGACGGCAACCGTAGAGGATTAGAAACGAAATTAGTATGAGAATTTACTACCTCTTGCCAATGGTTGTGGGGAAATTGTTGTTGCAACGACGGACACATGTACTCATAAAACCATAAAAATATGCCGGTCAAATAAAAGCGTACCACAGTTTCACGGTAGTCGGCGACTAAATTATGAAATGCAAACAAATAAAAATATGAATTATGAAAAAAAAAAAAACAGGGAAATGTTTTTGGGATTCTCCTCGCCCTGTAACCCAAAAAAAAAAAAAAACAAAAAAAACAATAGACACACAGACATGTTTTCGTAAAATATGATTAGAAATGCTCTATTTTTTCACAATCTGGTTCAACGTGTTTTGCATATGAAAACGGACTTTAAAGAAATCTTCAGCTACCGCTGTTTTATTTAGAAATCTATGAGAAATTATAACAATTTGTTGTTGTTTTGCCAAATTTCATGGAATGGTGAGGAAATGAAGCCGTTAAACTTGTATTGTCTCTGGTCTGAAGGCAAAAACAACAATGTGGCGATTTTTTGCGCTCATGCGGCGGAAGACCGAAAAAGGTTAACGTTTTGATTTTCAGTTAAAAACATGTTGGCAAAACATGCAATAAAACATTTTTGTTGAAACATTCGTTGTTGTTTGCATTTTTTGTTTCATTTCCCCGGGATTTTTAGAGAAGTCAAACAGCCAGACAAACAAACGTCCAAAGTGTGGCCTGGAAGGAAATCAAGAGAATATGTCGCAAAATAAAGCAACCAAAAGTCACACATGTCAAAGTTGGCACAAAATGACACGAGAAAAAAACCTAAACTAAACCAAAGTTAACCAAATGGTAGTAGTAAAGCAAAGAAAGTCAAAGAAGACAACAAGCAACACGCTCACGTACATATTTGGGATTTTAAAAATACAGCAAAAAATATACTATGTCGAAGGGAACAGCCAGCGCCCCTTCCTTCAAGCCATGGAATGTACAATTTCGAAACACATTTAATTCCTAGAAATGTAAAGCTTTAATTTTGAAACTGAAATTCTATGAAATTAGGGAAAAAATACTATGTAACAAATTAACCCCATTTTTCATATGGCTGGCATATTATCTATTTATTTTTTTTTAATTTATCTAGTTATGTATTCAAGTTAATGACTGTGAAATTTCCTCAATACGGAAATTTCGTTTTTTATTTAAATACTTATATGACGGCGCTTCGAAAAGACGTCTTGAATTTCAAACAGTTACACGACTTGTTTTTCTTTTTTCAACCACTTTTCCTATGACTAACTAAGCGCAGCAAGCTTATCAGCGAAAATCAGAATTTTTTTTTGTTGTTAGCGCCTGCGCCAACAAATTGCGGCATTTTAGCATTTTTGATAAATGCCGATCACGAAGTTGGACTGTCAGCTAAGAATTATGAAAATATGTCAGGGGAAAATGTGCTAATTGTAAATGACAACGTTAGTTAAAATTTGTAGGGGTTTACATTTTGAATTTTTGTTAAAGTATTAACAAATTAGATGTTATTTAGCTATAAAAAAATTCCTGAATACAGTGAATTTAATTATATTCTTATACAGAATATATCCGAAAAGTGTACCGATTTTTACAGTCTTAAAAGGGAGACGTAAAAACGGACTTTACGGTACTATACTCCAACATGGATATTTAATAGAGCTACCTGTGGTATATCAAATTTTAAAAACAATTGGTGTTACAGTTATATGAATATGGTATCTATTGCCAAATACCAATTACTCAAAATACCGAATGTTGGGAGGTACCATTAAAAAGATCTATACGATGACATGGCAATTTTTTCTCATAGGAATTGGGACTATACGAAGACTTGGATGTGTACACCAAACTCCGAATTTAAAATAATTCTGGGGAAAATTGTGGCTAAAATCATATTGGGGCTATACGAAGACGTGAATATGTACAACAAATTGTTAAGGTAGTACCCATTCAGATACCGAATTTGGAACAAAGCCGATGAAAAGTGTTACACAAGTTGCAAAAATACCGAATACCTGGAGTTATAATTATATGGAGGCTATACCAAAACTAGGACCAAAATGGACAGATCTATGCAATAATGTTTTCTAAATTCTAAGGACGCAGACTGTCAAATTACTGCAACTTCGGGTAAAAATAAAACAAAAATACCTTAAATCCGGCGGTACAGTTATATGTTTTTTTTTTGTCAAAATGTGGACCTATATGGCCCATTTTCAACACCAAAGCACTAAAACTTTCAAATTAAATTGTATTATCTCAGAAATAATTTTTCTGATATTTGGTGGATTTATCGCAAATAATGAAAACAAGAGAATACTTAGGTCCGAATTTGCCTCCTGCGACAGCAAGAGAATTTGTCTCTTGTGGCCTTTTTTAATTTGCCTAGGTGTACCCTACGAAATGCTGTATAAATGTAATAATTAAGAAATTAGAATTAATTCGATTTTTTATCAAGTCTCTCCTTGGTTTGATTGATAGATTTTTGGCAAAAAAAATCAGGTTAACACTCCAAATTATCTCTATATATCTAACACTATCCACGGGGTGTTGAAGAAGTCACGAAGTCGATTTTTAAATAGAAAAATATAAATTCTACCAACCTTTATATTAATTGATAGGATATTCAAGCCATCTACCCCATATGAAGGAATTCTATGTTTATTTTATTAAATTCCTAAACCTTGAGGAATGCCAAATTATCTCCTATTTCAAGATTTTTTTTACCTTTACCCGCTCCCCCACTCTTCAAGCCATGTGCCATAATTGTCAAACACTAGAAATGGTTATGTTTGTCATTAAACAGCCGGAGTTTATTGCATTGACACGCATTTGTGCAGACAATACATGTCATGTCCACTAAACTGCCTGCGATGCATGCAATCGACGTTGTTGTCCGCACCAAAAAACGAAAAAACTCAAACGAAACACTGGGCGTTGTTGTTAGCTTTGTTACCGAGCTTTTGTTCCTAGTTCGTTTTGAAGCATTTAAACGTACAGGGGGGGCTAAACGTGAAAGAAGCAAAAAAAGTGTTGATAACGTGCAAATTTGTTTAATGTTCTTTGGTGACCATCGTCGTCGTCGTCCTCACCACCATCCATACCTCAAACAACAAGCCACATGCATTTCATTTAGAGGGTGGAGGGAATTATATGAACAAAATTGAAAACTAGTGGCACCATACGACAGGTGGCTTAGAACTTCATAAATATGCTTGAAAGTTTTTTTTATCATTTGTTCTTGGTTTGGTATTATTTAAGGTGTCCCATCATAGACAGACATACATTAATATGTTGAGTTATGGCCGAAGAGACAGATATAACCCAGCTGTAAATTTGTGAAATAATTTATAAAAGTTGGATAATTTTCACAAATTTTTATTTGGTGTATTGCATACTTTTCAGGAAATGAATTAAAATAGACAATGTTTGAATTCTCTATTTACAAAGTAACCTAAGAAAGGAAAATCAAGCAAAACACCTTTCCTTCTGTCTTTTGAGAGAGATTCTTTTGCAGTAGCTAGTTAAGGGCTTGTTTTTGTACGAAAATTTGAAAGTGAATACAAAAAAAAAAAAAAAAAAAAAAAAAAAAAAACGCCCATTGCTTTTCAACATTAAAAACAAAAACTTTGGAAGTTTACATTTACTCATGCACCTTCTTTTTCAATTTTTTTTAATCGCCTTGAGTGTATATTCGAAACACAGACAACATTTTCGCATCCATTTTCGTCAAATCGTCATAAAGAACAGGTCCTAACTCACTTCCAATTTCGATTTGAAACAGTCTGTTTGGATTAATAAAATTCCATTCTATTCCAGTTAAAAAAAATGGGGACCCTCAAAAAAGGATGCTCTAGCGAACTTTGAAAATATATATTTCACTATTACTCATTTCCAAATGTTTGCTGGGTTATGTCTGAATGTGTTTTATGGCATGATTGTCATTTTGTGTCACTTAAACACAAACAGACAAAAATGTCCAACAACATAATTGTGTTGCATCCGTAATAAAAAAGAATCGTGCGTGGTGTATCGTAAATTATGAACTTTAAATACATTGCTGCTTCTTAGTATGCTTGGCGCAAATTCATACGTACGTACATATTTGCAATGTCTCATGGCATATTGGCTGAGTCATTATTTTGTCTTAGTTTTAATAAAATTCTTAAATTCTAAGGAGTTTAATGTTATGTTAATTTAAATTTAGTGTGCTGATTGGAGAGTAGGAGACAATAAAGGAAATATTAATGTTACTTCTATAACATAAAAAAACAATAAAGAAAGTACAAAAGTCGGGCGATGCCGACAACAAATAAAAATATAAAAAATCGGATGATTTTTGGGCTAATATTACACGTTTGGTGCACAATAAAAGAAAAATCGGACGAAAATGTATATGGGAGCTATATCTATATTTTGACTGATTATCTCAAATCTCAATAGGGTTCGTCCTTGAGTTAAACAAATGACTTGTGCAAAATTTCATTTGGCTCGGGTAATAAATGCGACCTATACTTTGTTTCCAAAAATATATGGACACATAGACGGACGGACATGGATAAATCGACTCAGAATGTGATTATATGCAGATCATCAAAAGGAACTATGGTTCTATCTCGTTTCCTTTTGCTGTTACAAACAAATGCACAAAGACATAATACCCTGACCATCTTGTGGTGTAGGGTTTAATTATGATTATTTTCTAAATCTACATTTTGTTTTATTATATTTTCAGAATCATTCTGTCGGGGCGAAATTTGGCGTGAATAAAAAGGTGAGTTTTTAAATAATGACTCTTTTCTTCGAAATTTTCCGAAAAAATGTAGTTTTAGAAAATTTTAAAAATGTTTATTTTTAACACTAACGGGAATTCATTGTTTAAGGGAATCCAAAGCAAATAATTTAGATGACAAAGACCTCGAGCTCAATTTAATTAAATTTGCATTTGAAATAATTTAGATAGCTATTATTTTTTTTTTTAGAAAAGTATTTAAAGATGTTTTCTTCCTTATCAAATTGAGTTTTCTAAAGATTTGACTCCCTATCTCATTTCAATTCAAGACAACAATCACCTAACATCCACACATACATATGTCGTGCTTTTTATCTTAACAATATGGATTCACTTATACCACAAAGACTTTGCCTCCCCAATCCCATATAATCAATTCGAAACGTTAAAAGCTGAGCTGCGAACTGATAGGGATTCACCATGTGGTTAAATCTCATAGAAAAAGAATATAGAGAAATATACTCGAAGCATTTGTTTTTGCAAATTCACATATGAAAGATATTTTGACATCAAAAAATTCGAGTAAATCGAAATTTAAAAAAAAAATTAAAAAATTCGAGTAAATCGAAAATTTTTCAAGTTGTCCTCGATCTGGTGGAAGTTCTCTAGCTCCCTCAACACTTAAAAAATTAATGATTGCATATCAGGCATTGTTTTAAAACAATCACCCATTTGACTCGACTCAATTTTCGTAGGAATAAAACGATTCAGGTATTTGTTTCATTTGTATATATATTGCCAATCCGTAGTAGAAGGATGCAGGTAGTCGTATTGACATAACTGCTGGGCTAATGAACCGTCAAACCATTTTTGGAATTAAAATATTTGAATGAAAACCCAGTAAGGAAAGGTCAAACCGGGCGGGGCCGACTATATATGATACCCTACACCACTATTCGTATCTAGTACAGCTAACGTAACAAAAAAGTTATATATTGCGATTTTATGTAAAGTATAGCATACAAACTATGAACCTTATTTGAATGCGTATCACGGTTTTATAGTAGTCAAAATATCCAAATCTGAATCGATTTTGAACAAATTTGACGTAGGCTTTTGTACCTATAGTACCTAATTACATTGCTGTATAGAGTATGATATAACTTCGATAAGAATTATATTAAAAATAATTATTGGAGCAATATACCGGACCAAATGGTAAAATTCGGTTGAATATGCAAAAATCTATTCAATTTGGGCTAATATTACATATATGGTGAGCGATAACCGTAAAAGAAGATATATGTGGGAGCTATATCTAAATTTGAACCGATTCTCATCAATTTCAAAAGGGTTCGTCCTTGGACCAAACAAATATTTGGAAAAGTTCATTTCAATCAGATAATAAATGGGACCTTTTTAAAAACCCCGATGGGTGTCGTATTAGAAAAAATAAAAAAAGTCTTCGTAAACACGAAAGAACAACGCACATAAGTCTTTGGAAATCGCTCTAACGAAATTAAGAGTGTTGGCAAAACTTCACTCAGATGTATCTTTGGTTCGCAGGATTTTTGGTATTGAGAGGTATTAAGTATAACCCCCATATAAGAAGATTTTAGGTGTTTAAAAACAATTTAAAGCCGAAATTTCTGTAATTTATACGTTTGTGATCCCTGTATGTAGAAAAAATACTAGTGAGGACTTTTTATGTATGTACATCATTTGGTATAGTCATCATCTAACAGAAAATTTCTTAAACAAATTCACGTCAACGTATAGCCCCCATATAACTGTACATCCCGATTTTTACGATTTTAGCCACATTTAACAAGCGAACTATTTCAAATTTAGAACTTTCACCTGAAATTTTCAATTTTTGTACTTGCCATCGTAACGGTGCTTTCACCGCAATATTTTTAAATTTGGTACATAGAGTTCGTGATGGGTACTACGTCTCACGACGAAAAATAGGATAAACATATCGAAGGTATTTTCACGATTTTAGCAACATTTTTCAAAGGAACTATTTCAAATTTATAGAGTTTAGAGTTCGTAATAGGTACTTCTTGATAGAAAATTTCTACACTATTCCACGATTTCGTATAGCTCCAATATAATGGTACCTAAATATTTTGGGCATTTTGAAGATTTAGCGAGATTGTTCAACGAAATTATTTTAGTTATTATCTACATAGTTCAACATTTTTGTATAACCATTTTCGGTATATCAAAATTTTTATAATTTACTATTTAAAGAGTTATGCGTATGAATATTATGAAAAAATTTAATTTTGGACTTTGATGTATTAGTTTACACTTTGAAGGTATATACATATGGATATAAATAAACAAATCGATCGACAGACAGCACCTTTCTGGTTAAAACAAAAATTCTATGATAACTTTACTGATCTCTAAGAATAAATGTGCTAAAACCATTTCATTAAAATAAATTCAAACTTCTCCAAATTCTCGCATTGGTGTGGGCTAACCCCACTAGAGACGGGTCATTAAGATCCTTAAAGAGAAACATTTTCAAGAGTTTTGATAAAAGATCCAAAGTTCTCTCCCAATACTTAATATTAAACTTCAACTACAATACATTTTTGTTTAGTACATTTATTGTCATTTTTTAATATTTTCTACTTTAAACCTTGTATTGAGGAATCTACACCATTCCCTTCCCATGTACGTGCTAGTCAATTTTATAAAAATTCACAAAATTCTTATCATTTTCAAAAGCAAGAAAAAGAAACAGACAATTGGAATTCCTTTCCGTTTGTTCATTTCCCCTGGCTAAATATACTTGTGAAGGTCCTGCTGTTCTCCATGACTATCACATTCATACAGTCTTATTCCTCTTTGTGTTTTCTGCTGTACTTGCAGTTGCCTGGCTTTTTGGTCGATATCAATTTTGAGCAGCAAACATTTCAGTTAAGTCTGCCCTACAATCTTGATATCTAGTCGGCCTAACAGTAATGCCGTCAGAATTGTAGATTCCTCCTGGCCCTTTCTTTCGCTTTTAGACATCAACTTCTTTTGTTGTTGATTACCTCTCTCCCCCACATAACGTTCACACACACATACATGCGTACATTCATATAGCTGTTGCCAATTTTAGTTTTAGACCTAAATTCATTCATGCGTTACACAGGCGGTTTGATAAACATTTGGCGATAAGAAATGCCGTAAGTTCATCATCACAACAACTGTGTGATGTGAACATGGTATCAAAGTATTACTCCCCTCTTCTTCTTCTTACGCTTCTCTGTAACCATATAAATAACGTAAATACCCCAAAAGCCTTGGGCATTAACAAAAGAAGAAAGGGAAGTTTATAAATGAATGATGTAAATAAAAAAAGGAAAGAGGAATTATATACCAACAAACAAAAAAATATAAACAAACAATTTGTGAAATATTTCAAATTAACTCGGCAAGGGAGAAAGGCAGCAACAACAACAGCAGCAAAATTAAAGAAATTATACAAAATTCCAAAAAAAAAAAAAAAAAAGAAACAAAAATAAATAAATACGTAAAACCCAAATATTTATATACCACCTAACATGCCAACCAGTCAGCAATCCAGCCCCATATAGCCAACATTCTTTATGTATTCGTATATTCCATAGACCTAACTGTAAAATTAAGGTCACTGGGTGTGATAATTTCCTTTGTTTTGCTTCTTTTATGTCCATTTTGGTTTAACTTTCCTGTCTGTCTGTTGGAGAGCATGGCATGAAGATACCACAGCAAAATAAAACCCTTAAAACTTTCATTTCCCTACCTCTGGACTTCTCACATTTAGTTTTTTCTTTTTTTTGTTAAAAAATAAACAAAAGTTTGTAGTCTCTGAAAAAACCGTTTTTATACGCACAAACACACATGCAAACAAAAAGTTTTGAATTAAATCATTTTTGCCAGCGTGTGCGTGCCTGGATGTGTTAGAAAAAAGGACTCCATGCTACCAGAGTAAAATGAAATACCATAATGTCCATATAAACCACCATCGTCCAAATTCTACCAATTGTTTGGTTTTTTTGCTGTCTTTCGGGGGAAAAAACAACAAACAATACAACAAAAAAGTATTGCCGTTGAATTTTTTCATTACCGCCTGCTGGTTTGTCCGCTTTATTTTTTACATTACCACACCATTTATCATTTTCTATATAAAAACATCAGTTCTTATTTACATTTTTTGCATTTTATTTATAAGTATAATAATTGAGGGGGTAAAGGGTAAAACTACATGGGAATGATAGGAGTTTGAAAAAAAAGATGGACAACACTTTTTGAAAGTACTTTTTTTGGATAAATTATTTTAAGCTTAAATAAAAACTCGACTGTAATCTTTATTTTTTAGGTAGCATGGTTATATCTTTGCAACCGACGCTCGCAGAGATTATAGAAGAGGAATATAGCTTGAAAGTAATGAAATCGAAGATAAAATAAATCAGTGTAAATAGTATCAGATAATATCAGTGTAGTGTAACGTGAACTGTAAGGTCACATTGCCCTAACACATAATGATTTTAGTTTCTTGGTTTTCCAGTGAAATTGTCTAAACTGGGTAAGAATTTTTAGAATAGAGCTTCTATTGGTTTAATTGAATTTGCAAGTAAAAAATTCAAGGGGGTTATAGTGGGATGGTTGGCGAATACTCCCGTTTAAAAAAAAATGTTCCAAATGGGGTAATAGTTTACTCTAAGAGTGAAATCGATAGGAAATAGCTTTTACTTATTTGAGTTTGTAGTAGCAAATAATGACCGGTGCATTTGGTGTACAAAAACAACAAAGGCAGAAGTCATTTGCTTAGCTTTTCGTTAACGTCTTTGTTGTGGTTTCTTTTGCAGCTGTGGGATAATAAAATGTTCATTCATACAAATAAAACAATGGTGTGACAAAAATTAAAATGGTACTAAACAATAGTAGAATGTGTTCGTTTTCGAATAGAAGTATATATAAGCAGACTTGTTCTTAGTCTAGTGATCTAGAGAAAGTAAACATACTCGTCTTCTTTTTTTACTCCCAGATATACTCCT